TGGTGAAGCACTAGATTCCCAATGGTCTGTGTTCCAGGGCGGGGACCGAATGCCTGGCTGAGCCCCGTGGGCTGTGCCCTTTCTACTGTGCTGGTCTCCATCCCCCTGAGGTCTCAGCTGGGACAGAGGATTCCGTTTGTGCAGCACCTGATGTCCCTCGCCGTTGTGGAGGCCGTGCGGTCCATTCCCGAGTATCAGGTACGTGTAGTTCAGCTCCCTCTTACCTTCTTATTGAGCCTGCAGAGCTCGGCCTGTGTGGTTTGTGGCATGTGTTTGCAGAATTGGCAGCTGGACTTGAACCTCCATTTGCCCTTTGCTGGCTGCAGAGTGGAGTTTTACGAGCACCACCAGGTGTCTCTGCTGGCCCCGCCAGAGTGCCTGTGTCCCCAGAATGTTCTGTCCTTCCAGTTCGTCAGCTTTCTTGCTTTCCTTTTTTCTTTCTGATAGAGTACTGGATGGGAGCTATTTTTCTGTTAAAAAGTCTTATTTTATGGACTAAAAAAACCCCTTCTCGTTTCCTACCTGCGTTTACCATTGTCTCTGCTCAGCAGAGCTCCCCTTTGTCCACGGTTGACTGAGTTCAGCATCCAGGGTTGTCCATCACTGTCTTTCCCAAAGTAAGGACAGAGGCACCTGTGTCATTGTGACTGAGGGATGCTTTGGTGGCAGATATTAAAAACACAAGGAAAAGAGGATGATGATAACTGGAGCCTTTCCTTCCCTGCCTCCCCGCATGCCCCCCAAATGTTCCTGCAAGGATTTCACATGGATATGGAAAGGAGGTCCTCCCACTCCCTCCCACCTGCAGTTCTCATGATCGTGTGGGTTCCTGGAGCCTACATGTTAGGAGTAGGACTCTCAGAGAAGCTGAGGTCCTCCACTGGTATTTAAAGAAAAGTCCTCTCCGTTGCCTCTCACCTGCCGTCTCCTGTGGCCACGACTTCATGTGCACATGCGTCTCTGCTGTCCCCTGGGTGTAGATAATTCCAAAGTCTGTGTTCCCCGCATTATGCTGACATATGCTTATTACCAGACGCTCAGTGTCCCTACTGTCTGTTGAGTTGGGGGCTCCTCAGACAGTCACAGACCTTCAGGAGCCAGGTCTGCAGCACCTGAGCTGCACGCTTCTCAGAGGAAGCTTCAGAATCCAAAGCTCCATCATGGGAGGAAGTATTCTCAACCGAGCAACAGGTAATGAGGCTTAGGAAAGTAAGCTAAATACTGAGACTAGAATCTTAAATGAATCTGTTCACCTTTTTCAGGGCTTTGACCTTGTAGCTTCACTGGTTAACCTAGCAGCATTCTTTGAGCTCCTTCTGTATACAGGGCTGTTCCAAGTTCTGGGGGCAGCAGGCTGTGGGGAGGGAGAAGGCTTGCCCTCCGTGGTGCACCTTAAGAAACTTCTACTACCGAGGTTCCCAGCCTGTTTCCACAGTCATCGCCTCGCCCTGTGTGTGTGACTTGGATTCTGAATTGGATTTATTTTTAATATAGCCTCATTGGCCTACACAGAGCCACTATTCGATGGTTGAAATGGCCCCAGCTATGTAGAGTTCACTTATCTTGTGACCTTCACCAGGGCTTCAGCTGGCCCCTAGTTAGATGTCACATCAGCGTGGAACCAAGACCAGACCCAGGCACATCACTGCAGGGCCCACCTCCTTCCAGGGCTTCTATGGGAGGCCTGCTCCGGCTCCCTCTGCTCCTTCTCTCTGTGACGTCTGCTGGGCTCTTGCCCATCCCTCCCCCCATCCCTGCTCCTCCCTCTCCTCTGCATCTTGAGCTTCTGCTCATCCTTTAAGACCCAGCTCAGGGAGGTACCTTCCCCGAGTGTCTCAGCGGTCACTCCTTCCACAGCTTGAGAGCACCTTGAGTGTCTGAAACACTTCTGTGACGTTGCTTTGAAGCAGAGTCATGTGGGCTCTTGTCTGTCTCCCACGAAGTTCCAGCTCTTTGAAGGCAGGATTCCTCCACCTTGGGTCCCCCCAGTACCAAGCACACTGCTTTAGCCATGGGAGGATCACAGCAGCTGTTTGAATAAATGATTGGGAAAAGAAAAACTGAGAACGTGGCCTGTCTCTTCATCTAGGGATAGACGTTCTTGTTTGCCCTCATGAGAACCCAGAATTTCTTAGCTGCTTCATTCCCAAACAAAATCGGAAAACATGAAGCCTAGCCAGAGCTGGTGCTCAAGGGCAGCTCAGAAAAGCTGCCGCCCACCAAGCAGAGGAGCCATGTCTGAGCTATGGGAACTCTTTCGTTCTCCTGTGAAGGCAGAGGCTTCACCGTGCCACTGTGGGGACACAGGTGGCAGGAAGAGAAGAGAAAGAAATCCCTTGGAGAATGGGAGAGTGACAAAGGCTCAAGTCTCCAGCTCACAGGTTTCCTAGAGGAGCCTCTCAACCTTAGTCCTGTTGATCATTTGCTGACATATTTGTCCTCGGGCAGTGCTGGCCTGAGGGGACATACAGCAGCAGCCCCGCCTCCGCCCACTAGATGCCAGTGCACTGTCTCAAGCTGTGACAACCAGGATGCCAGATGCCTCCCCACATTGAGAACCCTGACTCGAGGCAGAAAAGAGACATAAAGGTCCTTGTCATTGAAAGGTCCCGTTGTGAGCACCCCACGTCCTATTAGTGCTTGGGCTGCTCCTGCACTTCTGCTCTCAGCCCAGGCTGCTGTGCTAGGACCGCAGAGCTTCTAGAGCAGGGCAGGTAAGGAGCCTGTC